CGTGTTTTATAGGTGAATAAAAATAGGTGAATAAAAAACAGCAACACATTTTAAAACTTTCAGTTATTGACATATTTACATAATCTCTCCTCCAGGTATGTTTTGCTCGCCGTGGCGCAGTGTCCAGGCTTCAGGTGAAATACGAGTATTTCTTGGATGCTAACACCGTGAGCAGATGGCTTACCTTCAACCTGGTGGATGCACCCAGGTGAGTGCGCCGTGTGTGTGTGTGTGTGTGTGTGTGTGTGTGTGTGTGTGTGTGTGTGTGTGTGTGTGTGTGTGTGTGTGAACACATGTGCACACGCACGCATGTGTGTGCATGTGTGCCACCGCATATTAATCATGTGTAGTCTGCCTGCTGGGTTATATTTAGAATGATAACAAACCTAAGTCACATTCCTGCTTCATCCTGTTGCAATTTCAGGTTACTAGTGTCTTGTGCCTGCCTATACCCTAAGAGTCTTTATAATTATTTGTTGATCGGTCTGTTGATTGATTTGACTGATCCATTTATTTATTTATTTTATTTGTTGATGATGAAACATCAAGTATGAACAGCCACGTCACTTTTCACAATTCTATTTCAGCTGGAACTACACTTGCTTTGATGCCTACACCCCCGCCAAGGCTCACTCCCCCTCTGAGGGCTGGGGGCACAAAATGGTGGAGGTCAAAGTTCAGGGGTCAGGACTGTACTACGCCGATAGTGTTCTCATTGCCTCCAGTCTCCCCTCTACTGATCTACCAAGTAAGCTGGACACTGGGAAGCTTTTAAATTATGAAAGCACAGTTACAAAGATGTTTAAATTTTAATTTAAATGTTTATTTGTTTTTTAAGGTTTTTAAGTTGCATTACTCAGTGGTTTTGCAAAGTGCCCAACCTGTTGTTCAGGCATTTTAGCGCAGTTGAAATATATAATCTATAATATATTATACAATATAAATCAAGCTGTAGATACACCGTTTGCTTTCTGTAAAATGTCTTATCTGTTTTAACTGAGTACCTAGCAATATGCTCAATGACCAATATGCTTGGATTTAAATATTCTATTTTGTTCCCAGGTCTGACAATGAAGCGCAGTCGTCCACCATTTGTGAATCGTTTGATGGTCCTAGATGTCACTGTAACTGGGAGCTCTGGAGACTATAACATCACCATTGTCCCCTCCAACTGCCAGAGTGACTTCCCTCTCTTTGGTGTCTCTGGAGCTGTGGTAGGCTGTCTTCCTATTGTATTTCAATCTTTTGTGGAAAATGCAGGTTTTAGACATAATATATCAAGTTCACTGATAAGTTGGAGTGATTATTAAGAGAGGGTGGTGTAAATTGTGGGTTTTTAGTAATGGAACTTTTTTATTCGGTACAATACTTAGGCATAAAGAGCTGCATGCATGTGCATTATTTGGAATTTTGTTATAAGGCCTTCTTTCATCTCTGTAAAATGTATTTCTACAGAAATAAATGATCGTAAAAATATTCCGAAGGGTTCATTTATGCAGTGTTTTCAGTTCAGTGCCAATACTTAAGTGTGCATATTTCAGAACACATCTGGAGACCCTGCCAGTAACGACGTCACCCTGAGGGGCAGCAGCTGGCCATCTGGTGTCCAAGTTGAAGTGACCAGGGTCCAGGCAGCCTCACCTCCAATTTTGGGGACTTTTGACCTCCAATACCAGAATGAACAACTTACAGGTGGGTGAAAAAGGGAAGAAGTATGTGGGATATAGACAATTCCATATCTTATGTCATATCTGCAGGTAAAGGAGTTCATAAGAGATTCACTTTTGAATTCAATCTTTATTTGATAAAACTGAACCTGGATGAATCAATTAAAATACAGTTTCCACTCTTTGTAAGTTGTAATACAGTTTAACACAAACCCCAAATCCTTTGAACTGATGCGTATATATTCCTGTGATTTCTGTGATCATAGAATTATAGTTTAACACAAATTCTTTATACTTTGATGTAATGCTGTAGGTATTCCTCTGAACATAGAAGAATAGTTTAACACAAACCCTAAATCCTTTGATATGATACTCTAGGTATTCCTGTGAACATTGAAGCCTCGGACCTGAGGGACTTGTTACAGACAGTGTCTGGTATGGGTAAAGTGGACGTGGCCAGAACTGGACAGTGCTCAGACTACAGGTGGACTGTCCACTGGCTGACAGCGGGCAACAAGCCTATGATGCAGGTACATATCAATGTTCTCCTCTTCTTCTTCCTCCTCCTCAGCATCTCTTGATAAATTGATTTATCAATTTATAACCAAAAGCAATTGAGTCATTTCAGAAGAGACTAAACCTATTTTTCACCAACGATGTTTTGACACGTCATTAAAATGCCTTGGTCGCATGACTGAGTTGTTGTTATGAGGGACAAAAGAAATTGTTCACATGACTGTCATGTGACATCAAGGTATTTTGATGAAGGGGTCGAAACGACAAACTTGTGTAGTTTCTTTAAAAATGATTGACTGTTTAAACCATCATAATACAAGAGACAATAAGAAACCTAATTATTATTTCCTGATATCTTCAGATTGATGCCAGTCAGGCCACAGGGCTGGGTCTTAACATCACCGCAGTGCCCAAACAGGATGCTTACACGGACTTTGACCCCATCATTGGAGACATGCTCAGGACCATTGAGAACAATGTCCAGGTAGGTTTAAGTAGGAAGGGAAAAGTTTAAGAAATGTTTTAGGTGATGTGTTAGGATTTTCTTCAATTCTTTGAGACATCTTAGGAGGTTAATTTGATTGATAAGTACTTATTTTGAAGCAAATAATAATAATAGTAATATGTGTTATGTGATTCTATCCCCTAGGTGACTGTATCAGTGAATAATCTGCCAGTGAAGTGTGATGGTGACTGTAGTTTTATGTGGAGTGAGGCACAAACCCCTCACCTCACTGCTGCTACTCCTAACTCTGGTAAGTAGTATTGTCCAAGTTGTAGAGGATATCTAAAATTATTTGTAGTAATTAATTTAATTGAAACTTTTATTTTCAATTTTATTTTGAATTTCTATTTTCATCAGTAGTCTATTGTATTTGTAGCATAAACAACTCTTTCCAAATGTGAACTTATAGCTTGTGACAGGAATCATTATGTATATTTTTGTATATTAACTGATTAGATTATCATTGTTAATATTGATATGAGTATAATAAAAATAAAAATTGAGTTAGAACATAATTGAAAATGAATTGGAGGCAAATAAGGTCTTACTTGGTATCATACGATAAATTGCTAGTAGTATGTATGGTATATTTGACTTACTGCATCAATCATTTCCAAAGCATTAATAAGCAAAAAAAAAAAAAAAACAAAAAATTATAATTTATCCCATCCCTGCCATTGGTTCTATTTCCCAGGCTCACCTCAAGCCAACACCATCATCCAGCTAACTGGGACAGGCTTTGAAGCCAATGCCACTCAGAACACCGTCACCATTGGCGGAACACCTTGTGATGTCATCAACGCCACCACCTCGCAAATCTTCTGCACCGTGGGTAACGGCCCCGTGGGGACATTTGACATTCTGGTGAATGTGGATGGAAAGGGGTATGCTAATCACTCCTCTGGGCTGCAGCAGTTTACATATGACTTGGTGGTCACAGGGATCACACCCACCAATGGAAGCATTGGAGGTGAGGACTGGACTAAGATGGTGAAGTAGTAAATTGTCTCTATAGAGACTTAACATATTTCACTTGATGCTAAGTGTTTAGAACCTTGTCATACAGTGGCTGTAGAATTAGAATTTAATGTCAGTGCTGTTTTTGTTCAATTGGTACTGATGTAGGTACAATGGGGTTATGCTAAGAGACTTATACATTATGAAAGAAAGTCCGAAAAAAATTATAATTTGGATTACTTGAGAGAATTTGAATAATTAATACTTTACAAAAAAACAAGTAAACAATGTTGGTTTCCTTTGTATTTGCAAGATAAAGGATCTCATGGCAAAGTAAAGATTTCTGGTATGATATAAATTGTTTTATCTGTATATTTTCAGGTTGTACCATAGTGACCATATCTGGGTCTGGGTTTGCATCTAATGCTACTGCTACTGTTGGCGGCTCACAGTGTAAAATAGTCTCCCAGGATTATAGCAGTATTGTATGTGAAGTCCCAGCAACAGTAAGTGCAGCACTGTACCAGTGAATACCAGTCATTATTTATAAAATGTCAGAATGTGCCAAATCTTGAAATGAATTTTCACCTTGGATTATGCCCAGTATAGTGGTCTCTTGTGTAATGATGGTAGAAAAATGACATCCTTACTTTTAGAGCCCCCATCACTGAGTAAATAATAAGATCCTTA